GGAGGGAGGGAGGGAAGGAATGAGAATAAATTTTGTTTAAAACAGGAAGCTAGAAGGAGAAATGTCTTGGAAAGGTGGGCATGAGACTCATCACTACAGTCATGAGGGGTGCTTACCAGTTGGCTCAGTTAGCTCGGGGTGGGGCCTGCAGAGCATTTGAGGGAAGGGTGTGGCGTCAAGAGCTGTAGGGCAGCCTATCCCCGAAAGGGTTTCCTACTGCCCCCCACCCCCAGCCCAGGTGGAGAATCTTTTTGAGCAAATGTGTCCTTGGAGTAGAAGTTAACAGAGAAAGTCTCTCTCCCTCCTAGGGATCTGAATTCCCTTGCCCTGGTAAAGATGCTGGAGGAAAGAGGGCGTCCCTGGCGATCTTCCCCAGATGGTAGCCACTTTCTCCCCCTCACTCCCAAACTCTGCAGAGAGCTATCTCCGTCCCCAGCTCCTGGCATCACCCCAGTGCACCTCGGGCTTTGGCTTAGTGGAGGAGGCTGTGGGTTTCCAGCCACAGCCGACTTTGGTGCTTTAAGCTTCCGCTGCCACCCCAGAGACCCGGCCTTTGATTCCCACATCCTCAGCCTCCCCAGAGGCGCTCTGCCTCGCAGCATCCTGTGTACATCACCCCTGGGAGAAGCCGCGGGGACCGACTGACTGCAATGTCCCCTCCCCCCCCCCCTCTCTCTCTCGGCTCACATCTGCATTTCTGAATCTCTCTTTTCCAGGCTCGTGCTTCAGCTCCCGGGGTGTCTCCCTCTGGGCTGCAGCCACTGCTGTTCCCCTCTCCTTGGGGCTCCCCTGTCTCTTTTTTTCTCCTCTTTCCCCTCTCTAGATATCACTAAGATCTAGTTCTTTCTACACTGTAAACAAGCAGCCCAGCTTCCTGCCGACCAGCAGGGCTTTCACGAGCTTTGATCTGAGGCGAAGCTGCAGAGAGGATGGTGGGCTGGACCCAAGGGGTGGACGTGAAAGGAATTGGCTGCCGAGTAGGAGAGACACAGTGGACAGGGAACAGTAGACAGCTTTTCTGGAAACAAAACAGAACACAGAGGTCTCAAGGGAAGACATGAGGGAAGGAGAAAGGGGCTTCGCAAGGCCATTAAAGCAGCAGCCACCCTTCCAGGGCTCCACCAACACAAAGAGCACAGGGCCTGTCAGAAATGATGGAGGAGAGGCAAGAGGCATGCCGGGAACACAGAAGAGACAGCGAGGACCACACAAGGAACGTTATCAAAAAGGCAACACATACCACACACCTTTCCGGGTGCTTGAGGTTCCTGCCACCCTCACAGGGCCCCCAGAGATGGGAGAGGAGGCCGCAGTCCCGGCCCAGCCCCACCACAGCGACAGTCTGTGGTCCCACAGGCACTTTTATCTCCCCCCACTCAGCCCCCAGTCAACCCGCTCTGGCCCAGCCATGGGATGTGCCCCCCACCACACACCCTTCAACTCTGACTGGCTTTGTGTAAACTTCCTAGAGATGAGACCCTCTAAGCGGCCCTTGTGGTTCAGTGGCTGCAACCTCTGCCAACCTCTCCCCTGCCTCAGATGCCCACAAGCTGGAGGGTGGGGTGGGGGGGGTAGGGGGGTTCTGTACCCCTCCTTCCCTAGTCTCTGAAAGGTCTAAGCGGAGCTGTAAACAGCACTCAGCATCGACCCTACAGATGCCCACCCGTCTCCATCCTCCCCACACTCATCTCATTTCCCATCTCCGTCCAAGTTATTCAGTCCAGCGAACATCTACCGAGTGTCTAAAACGTGCCACACCTGGCCACCCAGCTCCGGTCACTGACACTTCGTCACTGTGGCCAGGAGCAAGACCCAAGGCCACTTCGCGTCTCTGCCTAGAACTGGGTGATGGTTGGGGGAGAACCTATGTTTCGAGGCAGGCCTCTACAGTGAGTGCCCGGGGTTGAGAAGGGGAAGGGGTCCCTGATTATCTGACTCCCCAGGGGCCCTTCCCTCAGCCCTGCAGGGCGGCCATTTTGTATCAACCCACAGATCCAAGACAGCACCAGAAATCAGAACAAGAAGTAGCAGTGGTCTCCCTCATCAGGGTCTTCTCCCTGCCTTGCTTGCCCCCCCTCAAAAAAAAAACAACTCTGTGCCCCACAATCAGGACATTTGGAAAGTGCTACTCCATTCAGCAGAGTCTTTGAATTATCAAAGAACCTTCTATTTTGAAGGATCAGACTGACCCTCAGGGGACCCCTCTCCGGGAACAAGTCTATGAACTGAAGGACATTCGGGGCTCAGCATGACTTCCTGACCATGTGGTGCTAAGAGATGTGAAGGGTCTGACTGAGGGTGTGGAGGCAGGGGGCTAGAGTTGGATAACTCACCCCATCTTGAGAAATGAGTCCTGCTTCATGCCCACTTCCCACCAAGAACACCAGCGTCTGTAGCCAAGACCAGCTCTCTTAGGATGGACTGTTCTGACCACATGTCTACCACAAAAAGTACCCACTTACAGCTCTCCAGAGGTAAGAGTCCAGTTTTGATACTTTCTGAGAATCTCACTCCCCCGTTTCCTAACTCACACTAACTGAAACAGAGTTCCTTTCAAAAATTCTAAATATCAATCCAGGCCTAGTGGCATGTGCCTTCGTCCCACTGACTGGGGAGGCTGAGGCAAAAGTGTCCCCAGAGCCCAGCCTGAGTCGAGGCCAGCCCAGGTAACATACGTAGTGAGACCTTGAAAACAAAATACAAGCCAAACTCCTAAAACTTCACAGAAAAAGACAGGAGTCAGAGCTCACACACACACACACACACACACACACACACACACACACACATGGAAGAGTCGGAAGAGGCTACAGAAAGCATGTGGTTTAAATTGTTCTTGACTCTATGATGCTTGGTGAAGCATCTTTAGTGGCGATTTTAGAAAAATTGCATGTAGTCCACTCCGGTCCTCCTCTTTCTCTGTTCATTTCTTATGTCTCCTCCATATTCACCACCTGTTCATTCTCTCTAATCGTCCCTCCTCTCCGTAACTGTCTCTGCCTTTTCTTTCTTCCCGGCTTCACCTCTCCACCACTGCCCCCGGCCCCGCGGCCTTCTGCTGTCTCTCTCAGCCATTGCCTCTCGGAGCTTGCATTCTAGTCAGGGTACTTCAGCTGAGCACCTGCCGCTCCGAGCACTGTACTGTGCCAGGGTGGGCAGGCGAAGATGAGTATGGCTTGCTGTTTAACCTTTGAGGCTCATGATTCCAGTAGGAGATCACTGTTTCATGACCTATCCTGAGAGAAACGCATGAGAACTGGGCCACAGCTGGGAACAGAGAGCCGCATCCAGAACATTCCGGCGCATCTGCTGCCATGCCTGCTGCCCCTTCCAGCTCCTTGAAGGAATGAAGTCAAGCGCGCCCCTTACCTCTGGCCAGCCCGTCTTCCCGCTGCTTCTTGCACAGGTGTGTCTGTGTGAGGGTTCGAGGCTCTGCAAACAGGTTCCTAGTGAGGGAGCGAGTTTTGCTGTGTCTTCACAGATGTTCGAAGTGAAGAAACAGGAAGCCTGGTACTGAGGCTCCTCTACACGCCAGACGTGGGCCAGACGTGGGCCAGCCCTCTGGAGTCCCTCCCTCCCTTCTACCCTAAGCTGTTCGGGAAATTGAAGAGTTAAAACTGCCAAAGTCATTGGAAATAGCTGAGCAGAGTCAGGCTAGAGCCTGAATGTCACTGTCGTCTGTTTGGGGGCAAGAAAAAGGCTGACACAGCCAGATTCAGCTGGCGTGAGGCAGGGCTTAGGGGCACATAACTGTAACCCCAGCACTTGGGAGATTTAGGCAGAAGAATCACAAGTTCAATGCCAGACTGGACTATACAGTAATACCACGTTAAAAAAAAAAAGTCAGCCAAAATTTCATCAGTGGAAAATTTAGATGAGATTACATTGCCCAACAAACCCACGAAGTCGGCTGTTTAGAGGTGATTAAGGGCCTAGAGGAAACAGCAAGGGCCAATATGGCTCCATGGCAGCTCATGCAGTGCTGGGTTTGCCTCCCTCCTCTCCTGGGGACTGAGCAGGTAGCATATTGCCAAGAAGCAAAATGCATGATGAGACTTTTGGGTGTGGAAAAGGTACGGATAAGCCATTTAGACTGCGTGGCCTCTCTGACAGGAAGAGCAGGGTCGCTGTGTTTGGACAGGTGGGCAAACACAGCCCTGCTTCCTTCAGTGACAATTTGAGAGCAGCCGCCGCCGCCGCCCCACAAAGGGATTCTCGTTCCACACCCTGAGCACATCTGTGCAGTGTGGCTTCTTCCAGGACTGTGAGCAGCAGCAGCAGCAGCAGCAGCAGCAGCAGCAGCAGCAGCAGCAGCTGTGTATCCGGCCCATGGCGGCAGAGAAGGGCTGGGCTGAAATGTGGATGTCTGAGAGGACAAGAGTGACCGTGGACCACACTGTGGCTCACATCGTTCCACCCAGCCCGGTACGCACCGTGAGGAAGGAGAGAGACATTTAAGGGATCCAATGGTTTTGTTAAAAACCACCTAAGAGGGTCACTGATGGATCAGGGCTGCAGGACAAGGACTCAGGAGCTTTGTTTCTCCTGACAGCCTCAAACAGGGCCGGAAGTGGGGTTTATAAGCATAAAATGCACAAACGAGTGTCACCAAGTTACAGGTTCAATCGGGAATCAAAGGTTTGGGACTTTCCTTGTGTGTTCCACCATTGTCAACCAACATACAAAGCAAGCCTTTCAGTCCAACCAATCAGATTCATTTGTTCTTTCTGTTGTTAGGGACAGCCATAATGTTTCAGAGAACTAAAGATGGATAGCAACTATTTCTATGGTTTAGGGAGGAGGTTGATCGGCCATCAGAAAGTTCTCAGCTCCTCTACAGGTAATATGGAGTCTGAAGTCAAAATGGCAGTACTCAGGCCAAAGTGCTTTTGCCTGCTCCTTCAACATTTCCCATATTCTTGTCTAGCCCAGATCTCTCCTAAGTTCTCTGGGTAGACACCCACCTTCCCACTGAACGTCTCCACTTGCATGTCTACCATAATGTGGTGGAATAAGAACGGCCCCCGTAGGCTCGTATACTTGAAGGCTTAGTCACCAGGGAGTGGCACTATTGGAAAAGATTAGAAGGATTAAGAGATGTGGCCTTAGTCCAAGTTTAGGTGGCACACGCCTCTGATTCCAGCACTCAGGAGGCAGAGGCAGGCAGATGGCTGGGAAATCAAGGCCAGCCTGATCTACAGAGTGAATTCCAGGACAGGCACCAAAAACACACAAAGAAATCCTATCTCAAAAAGCAAAACAAACAAACAAACAAACAAAGATAGCTTTTCCTACCCTCCATCAATAAGCCCCTAACCACTACAGTCTCCAACCAATCAGCCCCCAGACTAATCTTTCCTCCACCAATCAACACCAGATTAATCCCTCTTCCCTGGAATTCCCCTAACTCCGCTTAAAAGGATCTTGCGACCTCCCTTCAGGGTCGATATTTGCCACCCCAACATGCTGAAAATAAACGTTTTTGCTAAATTGTATACGTGACTGTTGGCCTTTCTTGGTGGCTTCTCTCAGACCCTAACACTAAATGTCTTCAAAAATCTCTCCAAACCACTCTACACCAATACCACCATTCCAAGCTTGAGAGACACTGCCACCCTATGCTAGCTCCTGGCCCTACCTCGCATCTCCTGGCCTCTCCTGTTGGAGTCCAGATGACCTGTTGTCCCCCTGACCCAGATGTAGCCCCATGACTGCATGACTTTGGAAACTACAAGCACAGATAAAACCTAGGAGGAATGTCCTCCGGAGCAACACAAAGCCTCAAGGGCAAGGCAGTGTAGATCTAAGGGGACAGAGATGCTGTTTGTCCCAGCTCTGCTTGTCATGAATCTCCAGTAGCTAGAGAGACAATATATAAACAGTGCTGGGAAAAATAAAAACTGTTCATCTTTTTGTTTGTTTTTTGAGACAGGGTTTCTCTGCATAACCCTGGCTGTCCTAGAACTTGCTTTGTAGACTATACTGGCCTCCAGGTCACAGAGATCTGCCTGCCTCTGCCTTCCGAATGCTGGAATTAAAAGCTTCTGCTACCATGCCCGGCAAACTTGCTCATTCTTGAAGTGAACCCAGAGTCTTGGGTCTCTGTCTTCCATTACCTTTTTCCAGGTCTGTTGGATTCCCACGGCTGGACTGGCCATAACACTCTCTATTCTGCCTTCCTCCAGATGTGTTCCACACAGCAGCCGGAGTGATCACTAAATGGTGCACAGGTACTCTGGCCATTCCCCTACTCTGAAAAAAGTAGCCTGGTTTCAGGCCCGAAGAGATGGCTCCGTGGTTAAGAACACTGGTTGCTCTTCCAGAGGACCCAGGTTCGATTCCCAGTACCCACCTGGTGGCTCACAACTGTCAGTAACTCCAGCTTCAGGGGATCCTCCCCTATTTTCTAGCCTCCTTAGGCACCAGGTGCACACAGGATGCACCAACATGCAGGCAAAATACCCCTACACATTTAAAACAACAAAAATTAAATAGTGGCTACTTCAGCAAGATGGGCATGGAGAGGGGGAAGAATAAGATAAGAACAGAGTACAATGACATGTATGTATAAAAACGCCGTAATGAGACCCATCACTTTAATCCAGTAAAGGACCGGAGAGATAGTTCAGCAGTTAAGAGCACTGGCTGCTAAAATAAATTAACTATTAAAAAATAATAATAATAAAGGAGAGATATTAAAAGCGCAGTTAGGCTTGTAACACCCACAATGGACATAAGTGCGTCTGCTCACGGCAACCATCGCAACTTCATCTGCAGCACAATGCTCTCTGCTGCTTCTTGCTTCATAACACCGTGTTCCCAAGGGTTGCATTTTAATAAAATTAAATGTTATTGTTTCATCAAAGACATTCTTCAGTTAAAAAAAAAAAAAAAAAATGGCCTGTTTTAAACTGCAAGTGCCTGGCCTCGGAGGGCCGTGCTGCATTTTCCTGCCACAGCCTCACTTTGTGCTGAGGCAGCAGTTTCGCCAGGAAGCTTTTGCAGCCTCGCTGGGATGCGGCACAGCAACAGGCAAATGGTGTCCCGTGGCT